ATGTGTCCACCACCCTTTAGTTGAGCTGCTCCACCTTCTTTGCCATCGTGCAATGCTGTTCGCTCTGATATCGTTGCGTCGTAGAGGCTCGTGTGCATTCCGTTCCACGGCTTCAGCGACTCCAGAGGCACCAGCCGGCTATAACGAGCGCCGCGTCGTCAGAGACTGTTCTGAACGCGCAGCAGACTCTGATTGCGCACAGTCTGTAGGTGGCGCAAATGCCCCGACTGTAGCTCGGCGTTGCCATCACTGTTGCCCATATTGGCGCAGCATAGAGGATGACGGACCTAACTGCTCGCGGAAAGTTAATCTTGTGTCTATCATGACGCCAAGATACTTTATCGCCCTCTTTAACGCAATGGTGACGCTGCCTATCCTTATATTGGCAGTTTCCACTCTTTTGCGACGTCTTACTAAGACGACTTCGGTTTTGTGTGCCGCTAGCTCGAGCCCAGCTCCTGTCAACCAATTTCTTTCCAAGCGCAATACGCCGTCGTACATAATATTCCATAGGAGAGGCCCCAGCACTGAGCCTTGGGGTACTCCAGCTGACACTGTATGAGTTTGGGGACCCTCACTCGTGTTGTATACCAGTGTTCTTCCTCTGAAGTAGCTCTTTATTATCTCTTTTAGATATTTAGGGATATTATATTGTGATAGCGCATCCAGTATCATATCCCAACTAGCTGTGTTAAAGGCATTCTTTACATCCAGGGTCGCGATGATGCAGTATTGCTTCGTTCCGTGCCTCCATCTGGTGCCTTGGATGGCGGAAGTTACCAGGCCAACAACTTTTGCAAGCGCATCAGTGGATGACCGGGCCTTCCGTAAACCAAATTGATTAGGTGACAGGCCTCCGGCGCTAGCAATAGAAGTCTCCAGTCTAGAGCAAATCAGTTTCTCAAACACCTTTCCCATGGTGTCTAAGAGACAGATTGGTTTATACGACGATGGCTCTTCCGGTGGTCTGCCAGCCTTGGGTAGCAATACCAAGTTCTGGGTTTTCCAGGCTGCAGGGAACGTCTCCTGAATTAAACATTCGTTGTATAATTCGGCAAACGTACTAGGGTGCAAGGCAAGGGCTAGCTTTAGCGCAAGATTTGGGATCCCGTCCGGCCGTGGAGCGCACACTGCAGTCCATGTGTGCTTACGCGTGGGTGCTTGTGTGCGTGTATGTGTATGTGTGTGTATGCGTGTGTGTGTGTGTGTGTCTGCGTGTGTGTGTGCATATGCGAATAATTATTGAAATATCAGTTGCTTGAGGGGTTCAGGGGATCTCGTGGTCGAGCAGTCTTGAGCTTTCTTACTTGTTTTACAGCAGAAAATATTAAGTTGCTGGCACCAACTGTGTTGTCTGGTTTGTGAATAAAGTCAATGAAAGCGCAGTGCACGAAATGAACTGTGACATACAATAAGCCAGTTGTTTTAGTTTTTTTTAGTTTTAAATGTTATTTGTTAAAACAGGAACATAACGAATACTTAATGACTGATAAATAAAACCCCTTTTAAATTTTTTGGATATCTTTACTAATTTAGCGGGAATACGGTTTTAAAATTTTAGTATACCCCTGCCTGCAGGAAATAAGCTGTGAGCCACTGTATGTATTTTGTTGTTGCCAAGCGACAGAGTCCTTCGGACGATTAAGCGATCAGCCAGAACAAAATATGGTAACAAAGCTCTTATTTCATTTATTTAAAATTTTCATATATAAATTGTATTTATTTATTGATTTATTCAACCTTACCCTCACAATTTACATATATATATATATAATACAATTAACTTTATATATATATATATATATATATATATGTCGGGGCGTTGCGTTTCTCATTCTGGTTTTCCATCATAGCTGCGCGTAACAACGAATTCCCGGTGTGTCGCTAAACTCTTTTTAATGCTCTTTCTCGTTCAATAGTCATTGACCAAGTGTGTCTTCTCTTCTACTCTCGAAAGTTCTAATCATGGTAGCATATTCTTGTTCATCGAAAGCACAGCGACCCTGCTGCGAACGACATGACTAGCCATCTCGCTCTCTCCCAGCGACACCCGGGACTACGTTCAGCAACAGCTATTGTTGTCTCTCTCTTAGTGACAGTGCATCCTTTAATTGCACCACAATACCAAATCAATCGATTAACACGATATCAAGATATCTAATTGCAATTTCAACAGTGTAATATCGCACTGACACGACACGGCCATACTGACAGTTACACGTCCCTGTGTAATTCATTTCTCATAATGTCATTCCGACACGGCCATGCTGACCCTTACACGTCTCTGTGTAATTATTGTGTCATAATATTATTCCGACACGGCCATACTGACCCTTACACGTCCCTGTGTTATATAAGGCATCATTCTACATTACCTTCTAAGCTTTATTATTTATTCTATTTTATTTATTCATATCTACTTTTATTTTATTTATTCATTTATCATTTTTATTTATTTATTTATTTTATTTTATTTATTTATTTATTTTGTTTTGTTTATTTATTTCTTTATTGTATTTATTATTTATTTTATTTATTTATTAGTATTATTATTATTTTTTTTATTTTTTTTTTTTTTATTTCAGTTAAAGATATTTTTATTATTTTGATTTAATTTAATTTTTATTTATTTATTTTTATTTTTATTGTTTACTCTTAATAGTTATTACAGTTCGATTTTAAATTCGCATTTTCTTAGAATTCGGTATCTATCAATATTATCATTACTTTTCTGTTATTCTCGATCCTACAAACTTTGTCCTGCCAAGACGGATGCAACAATTCTTTCTATCATTCCTTATTCACCATTATATCATTTTCGCTGTTATTTCAAGCTCATCGTCTTAACTGACGGATAGCACATCGCCTCTCTTAGGCGGATAACACATCGTCACACCTGACGGATACCACATCGTCTCTCTTAGACGGTTAACTCATCGTCACACCTGACGGATACCACATCGTCTCTCTTAGACGGTTAACTCATCGTCACACCTGACGGATACCACATCGTCTCTCTTAGACGGTTAACTCATCGTCACACCTGACGGATACCATATCGTCTCTCTTAGACGGATAACTCACCGTCACACCTGACGGCTACCATATCGTCTCTCTTAGACGGATAACTCATCGTCTCTCTTAGACGGATAACTCATCGTCACAGCTGACGGCTACCACATCGTCTCTCTTAGACGGATAACTCATCGTCTTTCATAGACTGATAACTCATCGTCGGATAGCTCATCTTGCATTGTCTATGTATCGACACAGTCTCGTCACTATGAAGTTTTACAACATCGCAAAGAAGCATCGCAAGATTGTGTCAGACTGACTGACGCAACAGTGCACCAATACATTGCTATATTATCAACATTTCACGTTCATGTTGTTATCATAACATACTCCTGTTATTTCAAAATCTCATTTTAATTACATAAATCTCTGACAACACCGGCCTCACCGCAGCGCAGGCGCCGCCCACCACGCAGCCAGCAAACGCGTGCATGCGCCACCGTATGCGCACACAAAAATGCGCAGCCCCAGGAGCCAAGGGCATCACCCAGTCGAGCAGTCTCGACCCGAGTACTCTCACTTGTTTCATATAGCCTTTTGTGCAAAGCTATCTTTAACCAAGGAATAATACACCAGGATCAAAGATAATTGGAAAGCTCTCACCTCGGATCGGTATACTTATCTTCGATTCATCTACCACACATATCTCAGCTACAGTCGCACATCAATTTTCAGCGTCAACGTCTGCACGTCAGCGTTAAATTTTCGTAGAATGACGTCACGTTTCTGCTGCTCACTTCAAGTATTGATAGCATTGACAAATTCCATCGAATTTCGATTTTGTAGGTCCAAAGTCGTACGCCACTGCTCCTCCGAGAACGTAGGAGGTGGTGCCGATCCCACTTCTGATGTCGGGGCGTTGCGTTTCTCATTCTGGTTTTCCATCATAGCTGCGCGTAACAACGAATTCCCGGTGCGTCGCTAAACTCTTTTAAATGCTCTTTCTCGTTCAATAGTCATTGACCAAGTGTGTCTTCTTTTCTACTCTCGAAAGTTCTAATCATGGTCGCATATTCTTGTTCATCGAAAGCACAGCGACCCTGCTGCGAACGACATGACTAGCCGTCTCGCTCTCATCCAGCGACACCCGAGACTACGTTCAGCAACAGCTGTTGTCTCTCTCTTAGTGACAGTGCATCCTTTAATTGCACCACAATACCAAATCAATCGATTAACACGATATCAAGATAACTAATTGCAATTATAACAGTGTAATATCGCACTGACACGACATATATATATATAAAATATAAACATATTTCAGTATAGAGTTATATGATAAATAATGTTTTATTTACATTGCGTAATCTAATATAGTGTTCTGCAAGAAATATGGCGAAAGCCTTCCATATCGATCTTCTTTCGTGGTTTTTTGTACAAGCGGAATATTTTTGGTTTTCAACATCGATTTAACATATAATTCACTCACAAAATTTGGTTAATATATTTTAAAATTCTATGAAATTGGTGTCACATATGATTTATCGTCTAAAATCGTCTAATAAGAGATAATTATCTTTGAAATATTATAATTGAGTTTCATATACACAAAACTAACAACTTATATACAGCTGAGTCCCTATAATTTTGAAACGCCAAGGGGATCAGTTTTTTTTTTTTTTTTTTTTTTTTATTTACATCGAAATTCAAATTATCGAGAACGAATTTGTTCAGTTTATCGCGATTTTCGATTTAGCGGGGTACAAATTATCGAGACCCGACTGTATAATAATTGTATTTTATTCATAAGTATAAGAAACAAATTATATTAACTATTTCGACTACCTAAGCATATGACCACATAATCTGACTAAATTTATAAAATCTAAAAAATGTAAAATAAAATTAATAAATCATTTAATGTATACAGATGTTTTATATAAACAGTAAGGCCTACGGTTTTATAAGTACATATAATTTGTTGCATATTTCAATTACAAATATAATGAACATCTTATAAAATTATTTACAATCCAATAAAAGCTTAAAAGTCATCAGGTTCAGTTGAGCAGGATGAGCAGTAACGCAGGACATTAACAAGCACATTAAAAAGTAAGTCCTACATTCTTTGCAAAGCTAAATCTTGATTTACACATTCCACCCATAATTTTGTTAGTAGTCACATCGCAAGTGTTTCTTTAATTATCTTTTTCACTGCATTTCCCATTGAAGGTGCTGTCGACCCAGAGGTCGAATAATCAAATTTAAACAAATAAGGCTGAATATCTGGAAACGAGGTATCAAAAATTAGATCTAGCTCGCTTTGGCTGGGAGTCTTGGGTACATAATCGTGACGGTTCATTAATTCTGTAATGTATATAACTTTCTCAGTAAGTAGATCAGATACATTTTCGCGCGAAAGCTGCCGATCATCTTCGTTCTCGTGTTTAATTAAATCCAAATGTACTGTCCACACTTCCCAGGGAATAGACTCCTGTGTGAAAAGCCAGCGATTTTTTTTTTTCTGAAAAAATTCTAAGCTTATCTGACCGGAGCCACAGCTATCATTAGAGCGCAATTTTTCGCTAAAAACATTGATGGCACGCTTCACTTTGCGTGTCAGGCTTTCCGAAGTACAACAAACATAGGTAAAGTCAATAAAGTCACAATCAACATCGGAATAACCTACGGTTCCTATAGAATACTGTGCATCTCCAGTATACATATATTTACCAGAACAGCGATGAAACAATACTGTATGAAAGATGCTAGCCAACGCTTCATCCACCTGCCGACCTTCCATGGTAAGATCAAAAATCTGTGAACGTGCATTCATGTTACAATTAACTCTTATATTTAAGGGGTTTTACTGTGCAGATCTTTTCGGGAGCACTCCCTGGAAATAATTCTTGATCTATACACCGTATTATATATATTATATATTATTTTTCTAAGTTAACTTTATTTCTACTCTTAGTTCGATTGTTATATTTTTTTTTGCTTGTAAAGATCTAAAATATTTCAATAACAAATGTTGTGGTTACCACTTACTTTATAACACTTTTGAAAGTGTCACTACCTGTTTAAACCATAATTGATTGACTTAATGTAAAATTATTGCGTTCCTCAGCTTGAAATGATAATTCGTTGCAACAGTCTTGAAGAGAAAATCTGGACAGGAAAAAATATTGAATTATTTAAAAATATATATATGTATAATTATATATATGTATAAATATAAATGTATATACAGAGTCCGGTTCTATCGACTCCGTTTATAGCGTCCGTACGGCTATTGCGATGAATTCTGGTCCACAAAAAGACTTATATGGGTATAGCGTCTTCCGGGTAACTGTATACATACACTAGTCGGCATAAGTGTTTTGAAGAAATCGTTTTGTGACTATTGAATTTGGCTTTACTCAGTACCGTTAAATAAAATGGTGGAAGTTATCAAAGCAAAGAATCTATTGATAGCTCTATGCATGCAAAATTTCTTGCTGTTTACCTGTTACATTCCTTTTTTGCTGATAGGAATGCATACAAGCATCGAATTTTTACTTGGCATAAGTACTTTGACGAAATCCGTCTCTCTGTCTTTTCGCTCATATGATCGAAGAAGATATAAGAGCTAGACTTGAATATTTTCTAGTTTCGTGTATATCAAGTATAGTATATAAGCATATGGAGTTTTCTCTAAAAATCGAGAGCTACTTCTCTTATTTTGTTCTCTAAACTTCTAAAAGGCGTCTTTCAAATACTGGACACTTGTGCTCATGCACATTCCAAGGTTATAATCAACATCTGTAAGTCTCATAAATAGTCCACTTACAAAACAAGTACACTACGAGATCCCCTGAACCCTTCGATCAATAGCTATTGCAATCATTTCGTGTCTTTCTGCACACACACACACACACACACAATACAGACGCACACACACACACAAACACTCACGCATAAACACGCATGGGCAGCAGTGTGCGCTTACTATGAGAACTTAATTGTTTAATAACTTTTTTTGTGGACAAACGACGACTTCATGAAACTTCAGATTATGATAATAACATGGATATACATACATATATTTGCCAAAGCACAAGTCTCCAGTATTTTAATACGTCTTTTACAAATATGTGGGTGAGGGGCTGGATATAGAGGTGGGGGTAAATTTCAACAAAAGCCGAAATTGTATAAAATGCATATAAGTCTACATTTAAAATTTGGAGACTCTAGCTCTAAAGGTATAGGAGATATAATAAAACAACTAGCTTTCGATAAGGGTTTTGATCGATAATAAAACATCGGGAGTAGTTATCGATATATAAAGAAAAACTTGATATGCACGTGATATACACGGACCTAGGAAAAAAAATTTCAAGTCTCTAGCTCTTATATTTTCTGAAATCGACGCGTTCAAACATACGGACAGACGGACAGACGGACGGACAGACAGACGGACAGGGCCAAATCAACTCAGTTCGACGCCCTGATCAAGAATGTATATACTTTGAGGGGTCTGCCACGCCTCCTTCTGCCTGTTACATACATTTCAACAAAACCATTATACCCTGATTTCCCATCAGGGAATAAAAGTATAAAAGGTATAAAAAGTTCAATATTGTGGTTCACAATAAGTTGTTCTGAATTAAATATAAATCATATCCTAGTTTAGTTAGTTCCATATTATTACCGCTTGAACTGAACTATTTGGTTTCAATTATCCCTACAAAATACGAAAATTTGCTCAATAAATGAAAAAGCGTAAATAAAGCAAATTATTCTTTAAAAAGTACAGAATTTCCGCTGCCCGCTGTTTTGGAATTTTTCCCGCAATCGTCTTTTCAAAATGCCAGATTTGACGGGAAAAAAGCTAATTTGGCAACACTGAGCATTTTAAACCTGATTTTCGATTAGTTTTAATCGATAATAAAATAACGGGAGTAGTTATCGATTTTTGGAGATTCATTATATATACAATATACCCTGATTTCCCATTTTCAAAGAGTTCAGGGTATAATAAATTAGCGAATTTGAGTAAGGATACCAGACCTTCAATGGTCGTAAATTTTAGCCCTAGCACGGATAAAACTTACTGCAAATGAATTTCCGTTGTCGCCAAGCACTGCTCTATCAAATTAATATGTTGAAAAAAACATAAGAAATATTTTTCTGATGCCTCAAAAGGTTTAAAATATTTCTAATTATACGGCTAAGAACATAATCTGTGAACGTGAGTTGAACTTGAAATAAAATAATAAAGTTTAGGACAAATAGTTTCAAGCACGTGTCGCTCATCTAGTCCAAACAAGCTTAACGGACTGGCCTTTAGTAAGGAATAAGTGCAAGCCAAGGAAGTTCTGGAAGTTCTTCCTGGAGTATAAAACATATTGAAAACAAATAAGGAAATGCATTTAACGGGCTAGATAACCTCATTCCTGTTACCGACTCAATATAATTGGGTCAATTTTTGAGAATCCTAAATTATCATGTCTTTCCTTCCGAAGATAGTCATATCGATGAGGATAATACTATTTGCGGTGATATTAATATTAATACATTTATCAGATTCCGTTTAATCTATAATTAAATATAAAATACTACTTCTAGAGTCTATTGACCTAAAGACATATGCATTTGATTCAATTTGTCTTAATTCCTATATTTTTGTTTAAACATATTTTCTTAATATTACATACTTGTAAAACACTTTTGCCATGACCTACATTTTAAATTCTATCAGCCATTCATAAAACAAGTAAGAAAGCTCTAGTCGAGACTGCTCGACTACGAGATCCCCAGAACCCTTCGAGAAATAGCTATTTCAATCATTTTTGCCGTCTTTCTACATACACAAGACACACACACACGCATACACACACACACACAAGCATTTACACATATACACACATACACAAGCATTTACACACACACGTACACAAACACATACACACACAAGCACCCACGCCTAAATACTCCGCTTAACCGTTCAACCGGTTATGTCGACGAAAATTCGATGTCTTGGTTTGTCCCCATACTTTTTTCCCCATAATTTTTTCATATTTTTGAGTCAATCACCGGATATTACGACGTGATAAAAAAAAATCGCGAAATAATGACAACAAATTTCAGCATAAAAAGACTCTGTTAGAAATGTAACATGTATGTATTGATCAGTGATCAGTACCCTTGCTTGTGTGCGTAGCAACGCCACAAATGCTGCTAAGACAGAGAGAGGGAGAGAGACAAAGTACAATGCCGACGTCACAAAAATGTTTGTAAGCCATGTTATTGAAAGAAGTTTGTAAAAAATGGTTGTTTTGATTAAAAATTTAAATTGTTTTACAGTAAAAGCTATTACGAACATGGCAACCGTAAAAAAAATTTTAAAAAAAAAATATTTTTTACTCTTTCTGGTTAAAGCGTTCTCCGGGTATAGCGACGTAAAATCGACGGTCCCTTGAGTGTCGCTATAACCGGATTCTACTGTATATATATAAATACAAAATTCTGATTAAAGCCGTTAAAAAGCTATGCTCAAACTACACGAAAATTTGTTTGTAAAAATAATTGTGCCGACTAGTTATATAATACTCACCAATAACAATTTTGGAAATTTGTACCCCAAATTGTAGGGTTTTGATTTTATATGCTTGTATTAAACGTATACTCAAATCCTAAAAATATGTAAAAATAAAATAATATATGTTATTATGCTAAAAATATCAACACAATAAAATATTTTAAGAATTATAAATCTCTACAGGACAACTTAATGGCCATGAAATTTATACATAAAATCAAGTTAGCTATGTTAAAGGCGGATTATAACTATATAATGCAGAATTCCACCATACCAACCATACATTACATAGATGGGACATATAATACGAAGTTTTTCAAACAAGTAAGAAAGCTCTAGTCGAGACTGCCCGACTACGAGATCCACTGAACCCTTCGAGCAACTGATATTTCAATAATTATTCGCATATGCACACATACACGCATACACACAGAAATACGTACGCACGCATAAACACGCATTGGCTGCAGTGTTGGCTTACTATAGGAACATTAATGCTTAATAACTTTTCTTCTGGATGGACTATTTTCATGAAACAGATTATGAATATAACATAGATAAGCATATATTTACCAAAGCACAAGTCCCTAGTATTTGAAATACGCCCTTTACAAATGTGAGGGTAAGGGGGTGAATTAGAGACGGGGGGTAAATTTTGACAAAAACCGAAATTGTATAAAATGCATATACTAAGATAAAACTGTTACGAGTCGAATAAATGCTGCGACATATACTAACAGCAACGCTAATATGATTTAAAAGACGAAGTCAAGGTTGGATTATGACAACTTGCTTTATTGAATATCAACTTAAGACTAACAATTGTATGTCTATTGACACGTATTTATGCAGTATTTATTTATGAGTATTCAGTGTTGGGCATTTCACCACACAATTCCAACACATTATCCGAATACTAGACCTAGGTCAACGAAGCTGCGCGCCTTGCAAAGACGAATCAGCTTAATGACGCGACCATACAGCTTCTGAATATTGTAGACGTAATCAGTATGATTATGTCACTTCCCTCTCCTTAAGAGGCGAGCCTGCGAGTCAAGGTGACACAGACGGGTAAAGTTTTGGTAAAGTTGATTGTGTCATCTCGATGATCGTGTTTTCCTGTTTTTGCTCTTCTGTTTGGACTGATGGCGTTGTTTGCTTGTTGGGCTCGTGAATTTGTTTTTTTAAATTTTGTTCGAAATAATTTTATGGGGTTACAAGATACATATTTAAAATATAGGATTACAATTATGAATATGGTTATTGTGATTACAATGATTGTATATGTTAAAGTATTATTTTGTGATACAATTTTTACAATGTCATCATGTTTTATAGGTTTTACTTTAATAATTTCTATTGGGGGATACAATGGTGTAAGGTCAACTTCTAGTTGAAAATAGTTATCGCTTACAATTATGTCGTTTATTTGCAGTTTACATTGATTGATATTTATAATTTTGTTACCCTGAATATTAAGACTAACATTATTATTATTTTTTTTTTTTTTTTTTTTTTTTTTTTTGGCAATTTTGTTTTACAATTGTAGAAGTTATGTTCCAAGTTACAATGGTATTTGGCTTAATTAAAGATTTTATTATCTTTCTCATAATAAGAAGTTGTGCTAATGTAATCGAGTTGATAGCCATTATGATCAGGATATGGGATAATTTTGATTGTATTAATGGATTGAAAGTCAATTGGGATATGGGAAATGATAGTATGATTATGAAGTAGAAACCTGTGGAATTTGAATTTGGTTAATTTTCTTTAATTTTTTAAACTGAGTTTTATAGTAACGTGTAATTCTATTTCTGTTAGTAATTTGGTAATGATCTGGATCTATTTTTTCAACATTTTTATTGGCTTTAAAGGGGTTTTCTAGTTTTCCTTTTTGTAATGGTCCTTTTCGATATCTGGTATCGACTTCGTATTCTTGTCGGTCACTGTTGATTTTATTTATTACTTTTTCTTTATTTTCTTGAGTGTTTAACTTTGGTTGTCCCGCATATAAGAATATGTGTGCAGGAGTTTGTCCAGTTGTGTCATGCTTAGTCTTGTGATTGTAAATGTAAAGTATGGTTTCTATTTTGCTGAGTTTATTTTCTTCGTCATTTAAAGTGTTGATTATTCTAATTTTTTCGTTTATTGTTTTGTGTAGTCGTTCTATGTCTGCTATTCCTGTTTTTGTAGTATTTAATTGTAATTCTACTCCTTCATTTTCAAGCCATTTTTTGAGTGCTAAGCTGGTAAATGCGCCGTCTCGGTCAGCTTTTAATAATTTTGGCTTTCCTAACTGATTGAATATACGCATTAATGCATTCTTGCATTCTATCCAGTCTTTTGCTTTAATATTTTCAAGAGTAGCGAATTTTGAGTAAATGTCTATGCAACTAAGATAATGTTTGCCTTCAGAGGAATAAATGTCTATTACAAATTTATCGCGACAATGTTCGGGTCTGGGAGTAATTTTCATTGGCATGTTTGTGTTTCTGTGTTCGGTTTTTGCTAAATTGCAAATGTTACATTCGTTTACTATGTTTTGTGTCAGTAATTGGCTGTTGGGGAAATAGTAAGTTTCACTGAAGAGTTTATTTGTTTTTTGAATTCCGGGGTGTAAGAGTTTTTCATGGGTTTTCAAAATAAGTTCTTTAAATTCGGCATATGAGTTTATATTTTTTAATTGAATGAGGCTTCGTAGAATTTTAGTGTGGCTAGTGTTGATAATTTCTTTATGTGCGTTTTGAATGATTTCGAAATCTGCATCACTGTCTATAAACATTGCACTAGTTTTTGTACAAAAATAGTCAATTAAATATTTTTCGGCTTTGTCTTTAGTCATGTTGTCGTATGTGATGTGAATTATAAGTTTTTTGAAGTAATTCTGTTTTGTAATATTTGGAATGCCTTTGGAAAATATAATTTGTCTTTTAAATGTGTTTATTGGTTTCTCTGTAATGCAAATTAAATTACTGTTATCTTCGTCAGCGCTATGTTGTGTTTCTTCTCCGAAATAAGTCTGTTCTATTTTTACTCGCGATAGAGCGTCAGCTATGTGGTTTTCTTTTCCTTTTATGTATTTTATGTCAAAATCGTATTCTGATAATTTTACTCTCCATCGGGTTAATTTTGAATTTGGCTCTTTCATTTTATACAACCAACATAATGGTTGATGGTCACTATTGATTTCAAAATGTCGACCTAGAAGGTAGTGTCGAAAGGTTTTTGTTGCCCATACAATAGCTAAAAGTTCTTTTTCTATAGCGCTATAATTGGTTTCGTGATCATTGAGGGTTCTGCTAATAAAACTGATAGGATGTCCGTCTTGAGAAAGTACAGCTCCAAGGGCTACGTTACTTGCGTCAGTTGTTAAAATGAATTTATTTTTGAAATCTGGAATTTTTAAAATTGGGTCATTGGAAATAAGTTGTTTTAGCTTTTCAAAAGCTCTAATGTATTCTGGATTTTTAGTGTCTATTTTTGCGTCTTTTCGAAGTACTGTTGTCATTGGTTTGGCTATGTCTGCAAAATTTGGAATAAACTTTCTATAATAACCGGTTAGTCCGAGAAAACCTTTTATTTCTTTAGTTTTTGTGGGAATAGGATATTTTAGAATTGCCTTGATTTTATCAGGATTGGGTTTTATTCCATCCTTAGTTATGACGTGTCCTAGGAAGGAAGTTTCTTGTTTTAGAAACTCACATTTGTCAAGTTGTAATTTGAGATTTGCTTCAGAAAGCTTCTCGAAAACTAATTGCAGTGAATGTAGGTGTTCTTTTAAAGATGTTGAATATACAATTATATCGTCAAGATATACTAAACAGTGTTTATTTATTAACGGTCGCAAAACATTATTCATGCAACGTTGAAAGGTTGCAGGTGCATTCTTTAATCCAAATGGCATACGAAGATATTCATAATGGCCATTTTTTGTGGAAAAGGCTGTTTTTTTGATGGAATCTGTATGCATTTCAAGTTGATGGAAACCTTTTGCAAGGTCGATTGTTGTGAAATAATTGCATTTGCCTAGTTTTCCTAAAATCTCATCCATGTTTGGTATTGGGTGTCTGTCATTTATAGTTACGTCGTTTAATTTTCTATAGTCAATTACGATTCTAAATTTTTGTTTACCTGAAGCGTCTTGTTTTTTCGGTACGATCCATAAAGGACTACAATAAGGGGAATTACTGGGGCGTATTATACCTTGATCTAACATGTCTTGAATTTGGTGTTCAACTTCTTGTTCGTATGCTTGTGGATAACTGTATGGTTTTGTATACAAAGGTGAATTGTGAGTAGTGTTAATAACATGTTTTTCTTGATTACTGAAACTAAGTTGATCGCCTTCTTTGAACTGAATGTGTTGATATTGTTTCAATAAACTTATTAAATTAAATTTTTCTTCTTCATTTAAATGGTCTAGTCGGTAAGGACTTGAGTTGATAGATTCTTGATTTTTAGAATTATCTCTGATTGGGTTGTTGAGGTGTTGATAAGTTTCAAGAATTGGTTGAGCTACGAAATGATTTTGGTTTGTGATCGGAATATCATTGATTAATTTATACTTTTTATTGTATAAATTAACAGTTTGGGATTTATAATCTATAACGGCTTGTGCGTCTGAAAGCAGTTTTCTACCAATTAGTAGATCGTAATCTGGTGAAAATTGATGTAAAAGAAATTCATTATTACTTTTGAACAAGTTGTTTGAAAGAACATTCACCTTTTTTGTGATAGTCAAAGGTCCATTGCTGGTTTGAATAAGACAATCGGTATCGTAAATTGGTAAATTAAAAACATTGTATGTCATCATATTAACAGTAGATCCTGTATCTATTAAACATTTTATATTTTTTCCTTTATAGGTGATAATTATGTATTGTTTGTTTCCGAGGCTGGCAGCTGAAAATTTTCGGCTTTCTCGATTTCTATTTCATTTGGTTGTTCTGTTTCCTGTTCGGTTGTGGCTGGTTGTGTGTATGTATAGTCTGAGGTTTGTGGATAACTTTGTTCTTGGTAATATTGAGGATAGTATTGGGAATAAGAAGCTAATTGATTATAATATTCTTTCTGCATATAGTCGTGATAATTTATCTCTTCTTGATTTCTAGTTTCTTCATCTATACTCATTTTACTTTGTTCACTTTCTGCTTGTCTAACACGCTTTGTTGGTTGGTTGGCTACGCCAAAACTATTGAAAGGAGTTTGTTGTGGAGTTGTTTGTGTATGTTGTCCAAAACGATTATTGTCAAATTGATTTTGTCTGAAAATTGGTCTAAGTGTAGGGTTAAATGGTCTAACTGGGTTAGGCGTTGGTTGCATCGGTCGAGGTGAATAATGATTAGGTGGAAGATATGGTTGTTGAAAATAAGGTTGATATGGGACATAAGGATGGTTTGGTTGAAGAAATGTGGGAAACTTTTGAATATTTGGATTTGGATAAGTTGGCTTAAAATTTTTATCTTGCTTTACTTTGTTTTGATTTAAATTTTGACAGGGTTCATCAAAAGATTTTTTTCTTGTAATATGTTAATTAGTGATCTTAAATCTGGAATTTCGCAATTTATGATTCGAATACAAATATTGGTAGGAAGTTTTGAATTAGGTCGTCAATACTTGTTTTAATTAATCGATCATATAGTATTTTTTCATCTTGATTATTTTCTAATTCTAGCTTACTCATCAATGTCTGCCTACGGTGTTCTGCTTCTTCCAGAAAAGCTCGTACGTTGCCTTTGAACGGAGTGTTCCTGAATTCCTCCAGTAGAATATGGTTCTTGGTCTGCGTCTTGAAGTTTAGGATTAGCTGTTTTCGGAGATCCGTCCATGTAGTTAGGTTGGTCATGCCAAGAGATAACATGACTTCACTGCTGATGCAGCTTTCAACAAGTCCAAAGAGTATTGATCTCTGCCTCGCATCGTTGGTGGTGTACAGGGCCAGTATATAATCGATCCGGTTGATGAACGTGTATAAAGCGTTTTTATTTCCGGTGAACTTTTCAACATTTTTAAGTTGATTAATCACTTGGGTCATGTTGGTATCAGAAAGGGGTGTTGTTGCGTCGCCTTCCATTTTGTTTATTTATTTAATTTATTATAATTATATTTTATTTATTATTTGTTGTCGGTTTATTTTATTTTTATTGATTATTTAGTACGTATGTTGGGGTTTGTATGCACTGATAGCACTTTCGAAGGTTTGCGAGAAAACCAAATGTTTCTGGAATTATATTCTCTTCGAATTCTATAGCGTCTTCTTGAATTATTTTCAAGTTTTTTGCACAATCCGCGGCTTTGGCAATATGCGAATTTCGGTATACACGTCACTGTCGAGGTTTTATTTTAAAACTTGACGCGATATTGACCATCGCGTGGGTTGCCTTCGCGTTTGTTGTTTAGCGGATAGCAGTAAACGGGACACAAGAATTAATAACTTAGTTATTGCATCAGGATCCACAATTTATTACTATCCTACCGGCTGCGCCACTAAGATAAAACTGTTACGAGTCGAATAAATGCTGCGACATATACTAACAGCAACGCTAATATGATTTAAAAGACGAAGTCAAGGTTGGATTATGACAACTTGCTTTATTGAATATCAACTTAAGACTAACAATTGTATGTCTATTGACACGTATTTATGCAGTATTTATTTATGAGTATTCAGTGTTGGGCATTTCACCACACAATTCCAACACATTATCCGAATACTAGACCTAGGTCAACGAAGCTGCGCGCCTTGCAAAGACGAATCAGCCTAATGACGCGACCATACAGCTTCTGAATATTGTAGACGTAATCAGTATGATTATGTCACTATATAAGTATACATATAAAATTTGGAGACTCTAGGTTTAAAAATGTAGGAGATATAAATTTATTACTGGTTTGCGGTAATGTTTTTAATCGATAACAAAATAACGGGGCAAGGTATCGATATTTAAAACAAAACTCGATATGCGCATGCTATACACGGACCTAGGAAAAAAAATTTCAAGTCTCTAACTCTTATTATAAGAGTCTTATATCTTCTGAGATCGACGCGTTCAAACATACGGACAGACGGACAGAGCTAAATCGACTCAACTAGTCGCCCTGATCAAGAATGTATATACTTTATGGCCTCCTTCTGCCTGTTACATACATTTAACAAAACCATTATACCCTGATTTCCCATTGAAAATGGGTTCAGGGTATAAAAAGAAACGCTATACATACGTTTTCAATTACCCACTCACACACACACTTTGCAAAAACTATACCAAATTTCCAATCCATGTGATGTGTAAGTGATAATACTGAGTCACGAAAAAAAAATTAAATATTAAATGAATTAAATAATAATACATTTTAAATTTGAATCTGCTTTTCCTTTTTCAATTTATGGTACATCAAAAGAGGATAACAAAGACTCACAATTTGCAATATAAATCTATAGCAGTTATAAGTTCTCCTGGTATACGTTGATATACACTCATGGTGAAAATAATAGGCATACCTAGGGACACGAAAAAAGTATAGATATTTTCGGTATCGGATACATTGGGGCGATGATACCGATACTTTTTACTGGATGTTTTGGTTTCGATATTTGTATTTATCAAGTATCTCTAAAGCCATATCGAGTAAAGAAAAATAAGCGGGATCACGTCAAGCTCGCCAGCCAATCTGCGCGTAATTTGAGACTCCGTTAGTTGAATCATTAAAAAAAAGTTAAAACAGTGAATTATTATCGAAGTAAATTTGATTTATAGTTAAAGTAAGTAATAAAGCAATTATTCTATGCAGTTTATTGAAATATATGTCTTTAAAAGAATGCCACAAAGCCGCAGTAGTGTTTGGCAGTACTTCACCAGAATACGCAAAGACAAGGTGAAGTGCAAAATTTGCTTCAAAACTCTTAAATTATCAGGAAACACCTCACACATGCATAAGCATATAAAGAGCCACCCCGAAGTGAGGTAAGTAAATAAGCGGGATCACGTCAAGCTCGCCAGCCAATCTGCGCGTAATTTGAGACTCCGCTAGTTGAATCATTAAAAAAGTTAAAACAGTGAATTATTATCGAAGTCAATTTGATTTGTATTTAAAGTAAGTAATAAAGCAATTACTCTATGCAGTTTATTGAAATATATGTCTTTAAAAGCAGCCGCAGCAGTGTTTGGCAGTATTTCACCAGAATACGCAACGACGAGGTGAAGTGCAAGATTTGCTTCAAAACTCTTAAATCATCAGGAAACACCTCAAACATGCATAAGCATATAAAGAGCCACCCCGAAGTGAGGTAAGTAAATATTGTCATAAATATATATGTATTTATTTTATATTTTATATATTTTAGTGCAAAAGAAACTGGAAAAAAACTATCAACTTTTACAAGAGATCTTGATCCAATAAGTTCAAGTCATGAAACTGAGCCGCATAAGTATTGTATAAGTATTTTGAGACCACTAGAGAATGTTACCGATGGTGAATACCTTGAAGAACCAGATTAATAATGTACATGTGGATGTAGATGCGGACGACGGTGATATGGCAGTCATACATGCCGTAAGGAAAGAAATAATTAAACAATTGGAACGCCGATTCGGATCCATCGAAAAAAACCACCTAATTGCGATAGCTTGTTTACTGGATCCAAGATTCAAAAATAGCCCTTTTAAAGCTTGTACGAAAGCAATTAATTTGCTAAGAAAATGTATATTATCCAGCCCTAATTCTCTCTCCAGTGAGAATGAGAGTGATACTTCCATAGACTCGGCAAACAATCTTTGGAGTGATTATAAGAAGTGGACGCACGCAGGGAAGCAGACCAAAAAAACAAGATCTACAATGAACGATGACGAAGTAGGTCGCTACCTATCTACCCATGTTTTACCACTTTCCATCGACCCTTTAAAACAATGGGGTGATATGAAAGTAGTTTATCCCAAACTATACAACTTAGCTCAAAAGTATTTGGGAATTCCCGCGACGTCCGTGCCCTCTGAGCGCCTTTTCTCCAAAGCTGGAAGTACCATAACCAAAACTCGCAGCCGACTGTCACCCAAAAGGCTTGAAAAACTTCTTTTTTTAGGCGATTGTGCAGAGGAGGAATGGAATATATAACTTAACATAACTTCATTGTACTATGTAATAATTGAAAATTTTCTTGTAACTTTTACTTTTTAATTTAAAAAACATGAAATATATCCTAGATTTAATAAACATTTCATCCAAATATAAATACCCGATACCTTGCAACATCGATACTTTTGATTTGATATTTTTATAAGTACGATGCTTTTCTTTTGATGATTCTTATGAGTACATGATCGATACTTTGCATTCGATATCGTGTCCCTAGGCATACCCCTTAAAAATTAACTATATTGTGTTTACTGTAGTAAACTGCCCTAAACATAAAATTATTAATGGATGTTTCTGTATTAGGTATTGTAGCAGGATACTAGCCTATGTTATACCACTAACCAGAGAACACATAGACCGGACAAGTAGTGTAAAACGTTTTGCACACTTTTTTTCGGGAGTATTCTCCCAGACACTTCGTATTTGCTCGGCTCCTCACTTTTTGGGCTCGGGCTACGTAAATAGGTCAAATTGATCATTTTTACAAAAATTTGGATTAATCAGGTACCATGTTTTTAAAAAACATTCATTCTGATAGGCAAACCCACGATTATTGAATCAAATCAGGTACTTAAACAAAAGCGCGCCTCTTCAATTAAAATATATTTGAGAGAGCAGAGAGCATCGTGAGAGAGAGAGAGAGCAAGGGAAACATTCAGCGCAGAGGGATCTTTTGTTCAACAGTCGACCATCTCGGTCGAACGCATGAAGCGAAATGATTGTGCTTTCGTATTTTTTCGTAGCCCGAGCCCAAAAAGTGAGGAGCCGAGCAAATACGAAGTGTCTGGGAGATAACTCCCGAAAAAAAGTGTGGACAACGCTTTACACTACTTGTCTGGTCTATGTGTTCTCTCGTTAGTGGTTATACTATAAGGTAACAGCACTATGGTTAACCATCGATGGATACACATCTATCGATAGTTAACCATATCGGTGGCTGAGGAGGCTGTCGATATGGGACATGCCAATTTACATTTTACATTTTAAGCTTGATTGTGAACAAGAGAAGACGTGTGTAAATCAAGAGATTAACAAATAAAGAAATTAAAGAAAAGGCCTACTACAATCTCAGAAGTGGGATAAAGTACACAGATTTTTCAAGTTAAGCAAAATGAATTTAAGTATAGACGAAGTATCTGTAGTGCAGTTAAAGAATTGGCTAGCTGCATTGGGCTTGTCGACTCAAGGGTGCAAGACTGAACTTGTCGCTCGCCTCAATGGCGTGCCCGCAAATTTGCGCGGCAGCGCACCCGAATTGGAACAGAGTGAAGAGGAGTCAGCTCAAACTGGAGTATATCAGACATTGCAAATGCAACAAGAGGAAATAGACAGGAACGAAGAAGTTTTGCGAGAGCTAAGCGAACAGATCAACGCAGCGAAGAAGCAGCTAAAAAATTTTCACACACGACAATTGGACAGAGACGGCAACAGCAAGCATGACGAAATTGACGCAGATGGCGTCGATGCAGAAGCTGAATTCGGGGAACGCGCTACTGACGCGCGCCAAAAGGGCACCGGTGAAAATTGCGTATTAAATGAAACGAACAATGATGAAGTGATGTCAATGATGTTTAAATTAGCTAAAGAAATTATGGCGGAATTTACCGGGGAGGAGTCTATTAGCAACTGGATAGCGCAATTGAGTAATGTATCTAAATTATATCAACTAACGGACATGCAAAAAATACTGCTGTGCATGGCCAAGTTAAAAGGGAAAGCCATGCAGTTGATACATGCGGATCCATCAAGGATTGTACAACCGTTGGGCACACTACTGGATGGATTGGCAGCAGCATTCGAAAGCAAGATATCCAAGGCCGAAATACGTCGCAAGTTTGGGGCACGTATATGGAATGTCGACGAGAAGTTTACCCTGTATTATGAAGAAAATACACGTTTAGCAAGGCAAATCCATTTATATGTAGATGAGCTACTGGACGGTCTCATTGAAGGAATCCTGAATGCAATTTTACGCGCGCAGGCCAGGATACAGTGCTTTGAAGACCCCAGCAAATTTGTAAGGGCTTTTGCAGATGTGCGTTTGCCACTGCAACGATCTACTGGAGGAAAAGAGACAACAGCAGTGGGACCAGGGCTCGATAATGCAATGAAGGAGACGCGTTGCTTCAATTGCAACTATAAGGGACATTGGGCAAGAGATTGTCAGAAGCCCAAGAAGGAAAAGGGTACGTGTTACCACTGCGGCGCTAAGGATCATATGGTGGCACAATGCACGAAGAGGAAGGATGATATTGGAAACAATTTCGTAAGGTTAATCAATATACATTTTAAGACCAAAGATAAAGCTTCAGTTATTGCAGAATGCCTCATAGATTCAGGAAGTCCCATTTCGTTTATTAAAAAATCGTGTGTTCCATTTGGAATAAAACTTAAAGCACATACAGAAAATTACTTTGGGCTAAATGAAAGTCAGTTGAATGTTATTGGAAAAACGTTTGTTCATATTTTCAAGTTTAAAAAAATTAATTTTTGGTTAATAGCTGTGGCTGATGAATCTATGAGGTGGGAAGTAATTTTAGGGAGGGATTTCATGGAAGCTTACAATTTATATGTTGACCCAAACGCTCTGAGGATGATTTCAGTGGAAAGAACAGCCGGTACGTTGGTCGAATCGAAGCCTATCATAGCAAAACTTAGAGGAAACGACCATATGGCAAAAGGGAAATTAAGTGCGGTAAAGAATAAATTGTTAGAAAATGAAGAATTAGAAGAGAAATTGTTAGATAAATTGTTAGAAAATGAAGAATTAGAAGAGAAATTGTTAGAAAATGAAGAATTAGAAGAGAAATTGTTAGATACATTGTTAGAAAATGAAGAATTAGAAGAGAAATTGTTAGATAAATTGTTAGAAAATGAAAAATTAGAAGAGAAATTGTTAGAAAATGAAGAATTAGAAGAGAAATAAATTGTTAGATAAATTGTTAGAAAATAAAGAGTTAGAAGAAAAATCATTAGGCAAAGAAGAGAACGGTAGTTCAAAAGAGTGTTTAGAAAAGTCAATGGAAATAAATAGCAAAAGCGTTTTGGATGATAATTTTGAAAACAGCATGCTTCAAATTAATATGGTAGAAGGAGACAATGTAAAAGAGACATATATTATCGGTGAAAACATTAGTTATGATGTACGAGAAAAACTAATTAGATTGCTGAAAGTGGCATGTAGATGCATTGAGTAGATACAATAATAACATTATGGTAACAGAAGCAAATAGTTTTGAGACTAATTTAATTATTTGCCAAACAAAAGATGCAAAGTTACAAGAAATTAGAAAATTATTAGAGAAACAGGAGCACAAATTATTTGAAATGAGAAATGGTGTTATATTTAGGAAGAAAGAGTGGAATACGTTTTGAATAACACTCAACACTGTAGCACCAAGCAATTGCCAAGCGCAATGTTATTCGGAATAGAGCAAAAAGGGGAAATTAGTGATAGTTTAGGAGGACAATTAGAGAAAATAATGGGATTAGATACATACAGTTCACAGAATTTAGAAGATATTAGAGAACAAGCACAACATTATCAATCTGCATCACAAGCACGGAACGAAGAGAACTTTAATAATGCTAGAAAAGCTGCAAACGTATACAAGCCAGGAGATTATGTAATGGTTAAAAATTTCGACAGCACGGTGGGAATATCAAGAAAATTAATACCTAAATCCAAAGGACCATATGTCATAGATAAAGTACTGAAAGACGATAGATATTTGATAAAAGACATTGACGGCTTTCAATTATCCAGGAATCCTTATCAGGGCGTTTGGAGTGCAAACAATATAAGACATTGGGTAAAAGCATAAGAGAGATAATGATCTGTATTGTAAATATTAATTTCATAACTAGTGTGCAACATTTAATTAATAATTTAATTTTCAGAATATGTAAATATAATATCTATAAGAATTATATTTATCAAACACTAGCTGGCCCGGCAAACGTTGCATTGCCCTATCCATTATTTCTAGGTAAAAAATTGTTGAAAGCTATGTTGTTCAGGTTGGGATACACTCTGATAAATTTATTAATCGGATTTTCATTCAAGCACCTTGTGGTAAACGACATTCTTCATTTTTTAGTCAGGTGCAAGAACAAATAATGCGGATGGTTTGCCAACACGTGAGCATGCCACGTACAATTGACCATGAGAAAAACACGCATTTTCTAGATTGAGGCCACAAATAGTCAAAGATTGGCCCTGTGATTTGTTGATCGTAAAAATTGTATTTTACTAAATTAAGAGTGATAACTTTTTTTGTGTACCAAAAGCAAACAGAATGAAATGTATATAAAGTTAAAATGAAACAATGATTGATTTTACCATTCAATGGATTAATCATTTTGATATTAAAGTGATATCCATCGTCTCCTTGCCAAAACATCAGCGGGTATTGTAAAGCGTCATATGAACGGTGCGTTTCAGATATTCTTTGTAGTTGCCCAGTACTGCGTCGTGTAAGCACAATATCGCGTGCTTCCAAGCATTCACCAACAATCAGGATTGCGACTTCATCGATTGTTGGAGCATTAAATGTGCGTTCATGTGTTCCAGCTGGTGTTTTATATGCTCTGATTACTACTTTATAGTCATCTCTTGGCATGCGCTCTAAAGCAGTCTCGAACAGCTTGACCAATGCATGATGCTCGTGAAGCATTTGCTGCAAATCTTGGAGAATTTCTCTTTTCATAGCTGTGTTGATTTCTTGACGCCGGTCAAGTTGTTCTTCCATATTGCCCAAGAAGTATATTTGCAAGAATTTGTGCTGTGTATCTTCAATAGGTTGCAATGATACAATGCGATGGCAAATCTGGCCTTGAATCTTTAAATTCAAAGCCATAGTTATAGTTAGATTTACACTTTTTACAGAAATCTAACAAACTACATTATTCCAAAAAAAAATTTTTTTTTACAATCATAGAATATAAAATTTTTAACGTAAATTACCTTAAATGTCGGATTATATCCGTCTCCAATGATTTCCGCCCCAAATGAAGTCATTTGGAAACAGGCATTGTATTTTTGAGTGTTCGCTAGAAAATGTGATTCTAGTGATTTCTTATTGCCGTTTCACGGGCTGCCTCTATTTGAGAAGCACGAATTAAGGCCCTTCTTTGCTGGGTATTAACGCGGCACTTAAAATCCCCATAACTCGGTATGGGGTTCGGCTCTATTATTAATTTACCTTCCCTGTGTTGTTTTGGTTACAGGCATTTGGAAACAGGCATTTTTTTTTTTTTTTTTGAGTGTTCTCTAGAAAATGACGTGATTCTAGTGTTTCGGCATAGAACAGACTCTGGTGGCGGACCACTAATGGCAATGTCACTTTACCACTAAGGCAGCACAAACCGGGCGTTTCACCAGCAACTTCAATGCGCCACAATGCTGGCAAACAACGTCCATTGGACCAATGCAAACTTAACAATTCAAGCTGTAGTCAATGATGCAATCATATCGAAACGCTGCTCGATTCAAATCAATCCTTGAACCATTTCTTATTGCCGTTTCACGGGCTGCCTCTCTTTGAGAAGCACGAATTAAGGCCCTTCTTTGCTGGGTACTAACGCGGCGCCTTTCTCGGGCGATTTCTCGCTCTTCGTCAGATAATAGATTCGCGATATTCCAATGCCTAATTGCATTATGGGTCCGCCGGGAAAGATTAGATCTTATAGGACGCGGCATTTTTATCAATAGTAACACATAACATGCCCTCGCACAAAACCACATAAAACAATCGAGAAATATAAATACCAATAATTTACACAAATTTATGTTTGAGACAAACAAATACCTGAACTTTCGAGATATTTAGCTTTTGTACGCACGCGTATTATTTTTATCAAATGTGCTTTTTTTATGAATAGTCAGGTTCGCCTGACTGACTACATTTGTTTATTTACTTCTATACTATTGTATAATATGAGAGCAGGACCGAAAACTGTCACTGTTATCCAGCCTACTGAGTATAAATGGAAATTTGAATCTTTAGGGAAAAAACCGCGTTTTTCAAGTATTCGTAAAATTTTTTCAGTATTTTTAAGATCTACTATCCTACTCGTGGCGGAGACAAATCCAACATATCAAAAACCATGAAAATTGGTCCAGCACATATCAAGTTATAAGTCTCTGTACACTTTTACACAACTCTCTTTTATATATATAATGTAAGCACAATATTATTTTTAAGAAGTTAAGTATCAAATATGTAAATAGTTATACAAAATTAACAGAGATAGAGGGCTATCTCAGAGTCAGGATGACCGAATTGTAGCAGGATACTGGCCTATGTTATACTATAAGGTAACAGCACTATGGTTAACCATCGATAGATACACGGTGGCTGAGGAGGCTGTCGATATGGGACATGCCAATTTGAGTAATAGAAGAAGAGGAGGTAGATCGATACATTTTTAGCTTGATTGTGAACAAGAGAGGACGTGTGTAAATCAAGAGATTAACAAATAAAGAAATTAAAGAAAAGGCCTACTACAGTATATATTTGTGAAAATAAGTAAATTTTGTAAACAATTGTCTTTTCAAAAGTCATAAACAAAACAAGTATGAAAGCTCTAGTCGACACTGCTCAACTACGAGATCTCCTGAAGTAGTGCTGTAAAACTATCGATTGAACTATCGATCTATCGAATATTGATATTTCTGCGTCCATATCGATTGTTTTTTATACTATCGATAGAGATGATATCGTGCGTTGCACATCAATTACTCTGGCGCAACTTCGCAAGTCGGCGGCTCTTTTTGGTCAGAAATACATTTATAAGAAGCAATTAAGTATAAAAATAAGTATTTATTTGTAGGTAAATTTTCGTTGGTGTTGGTGGCTGGACAGATTATCACGGAACGACGAGCTGCCTTAAAAGCTAAGCATGTGGACATGCTTGTCTTTCTTAATCATAACTCTTGGATCTTGGCAGAAGAATAAAGGCCATGGATTTAATTTTAATTTTAATTTTATTTTAATTTTATCTAAACTTTTCTTTGTTATAGTCCATGAAGGATCTCATTATTGTTTATTCAAATATTTATTTTTATTTTTAAATATCCATTTATTTTTTGTTTTTGAACTTGAAAATATTTTCGATAGTACCATCGATGCTATTGAATAATTGTTGTAAAACCATCGAAACTATTGAATGTTGCAACCATCGATAGTTTTACAGCTCTATCCTGAACCCTTTGAGCAAATGATATTCAGGGTGACCGAATATGGTATTTTAAATACTTTTTGGTATTTTATCAGCTCCGATTTTGCTCAAAAGTATTTTAATGGTATATAGGTAGGTAGTAGCATTTTTCTTCGATTTTATGGTATTTTCGGTTTGGTCACTCTTTAAGTCTTAATGAATCGAATGCTTAATGCTTAAGACTTGCTTAATTTTAAAACAAATAAATAGAAAACATGAGCAATAAGCAAAAATATAGAGCTGAGTGGGAGACTATGCCGGAAAATGAAAAATGGCTGGGAAGGAGCGCTAATAATATGGATGCGCACTGCACAGCGTGCCAGACTAACATTTTGAGTAGGCTGGCGTCACTTTAGCAGCATGCGGCTACACAAAAACAAAGATTTAATAATTTTGCCCGTTTCTAATCCGTCGTGTGAACGCATATTCTCTCAAATTAATTTAATCAAAACGAAAAATCGAAACCGCTTTAAAAATGTAAATATATCACATATATTACATGTACAATAATCATTGCGCGAAAATGGGTGCAATAATTTTAAGCCCAGTGAACAAGTGTTATGTAAAGATTTCAACAAATTGAATTTAAGCTGCTCTGACGAAGAAGGCTAGTAAATATAATTAAATGGTCTTAAAAGAAACTAGCAAGACTGAACAAAGAAGTTCCTTTATTATTTTATTTTAAGAAAATGTTACAAAATGAATTTTAAGCGTTTAATTAATTTTAAGACTTTAAATATACAGAGGTGGTCAAAAGTAATTACACACCGAGCTTTTTTCTGCATGCTCAGCTTTAAAAGCTTGTTGTTGTTGTTGTTGTTCGCTGTTTTTGAAAAAAAGCTTTTGTGTCATAAAGCTTATTCTGTGTAGAAGCGATCGGCAAAAAGAAATTGCTAAAATAACGGTACAGGTTCGTAGATATAGCAAAAAGAACAGTTACCTAGAGGTTGTCAAAAGTATTTACACACATTTTTTTTGCGTCATAAGTATTTACACAAAATTTAAACATTTTTTAATGGCATTAATTAATGTTATTTATTTTTAATTTTTGTTGAACATAATAAAGGGTTTATTTATTTAATTTAGTATTTTGTCATTCCCCCTTTTTCGTCAATTACAGCCTGAAGCCTGGCTGGAATTGATGTTACCAATGATCGGGCGAAGTCAACTGTGAGCTCCGACCATATTCCGGTAACTTCCTGAATGGTATCATCCCGTTTCCGGTCCTTTTTGAATAGCCGTTTGGATTTTATTAAAGCCCAAACATTTTCAATAATGTTAAGGTCCGGACTTTGCGCAGGCCAGGGCAGGATTGCTTGATCTAAGTCCGCCAAAAACTTGGTGGGTATTGAGCCTTTGTGGCATGGAGCATTGTCTTGCTGCAATACCCATTCGATTGTTGGAAATAGTTTGTTCGCCGAAGTAAAAGCATTGTCATTTAATATGTGCAAATATCGTGATTGGGTCAGAGTGCCCTCTATTGGCACAAAATCTCCAAAACCATAGTACGACATGCAACCCCAAAACATTACTGTGCCACCTCCAAACCTGCTAAGAGGCTGCACTGCAGTTTTTTTATTTTTGTCGACTTAAATGCATAAAAGTCTTTCGAAATGAGCCTTGAAACTGAAATGCAACCTCATCTGTCCACAAAATGTTGTACCAAAACTCCAAAGGCTTTTCAATGTACTCTAAAGCAAAAGCAAGACGTTTTGCTTTGTTTGCTTCCGAGATATCAATGATTTTTCGGACGACATAGGTGTTTATGTCAACATCCTTTAACCTTCTACGAATAGTAGCATCACTGACATGTTTACCAATTATCTGTTGTGATGCTGCAGACACTTTAACTGGGCTTATCTCGGGGTTTTCTACGAATGTGCTGACAAGTCTTCTGCATTCCCTGGTGTTCAATGCTGGCTTTCGCCCACTTCGGTGTAAATTATTCAAATTTCCAAGTGTATCCCTTTTGTTAACCAAGTTATACACCGTTTTTCTAGATATTTTGAATATCTTTACCAACTCCGATGCCCCAACACCACTCTTAAACTTGGTTACGATCTCGGATCTTGTTTCGACTGATAGTTCCTTTGTTTTTACCATTTTACAGCACATCTACAATTTCAACTACAAATTGAATTCCGATCTTAGTCAAAGACCGCACATGATCAACGCAAATCAAAGACTAAAGGCAAATTTACATTGTGTAAATACTTATGACGCAAAAAAAATGTGTGTAAATACTTTTGACAACCTCTAGGTAACTGTTCTTTTTGCTATATCTACGAACCTGTACCGTTATTTTAGCAATTTCTTTTTGCCGATCGCTTCTACACAGAATAAGCTTTATGACACAAAAGCTTTTTTTCAAAAACAGCGAACAACAACAACAACAACAAGCTTTTAAAGCTGAGCATGCAGAAAAAAGCTCGGTGTGTAATTACTTTTGACCACCTCTGTATATTGGAATATGGAATTGAATACGAATGCATATGTTCTAGTTTTATGTTGGACTGAAATATTAGTAATTTTTTAAAATGAAATAAACAACAAACTTTTTTTGCAATGGGAAAACCCTTATTTTTTCTATATATAATAAGTCAGTTATTATTTTATTATAATTTGAATTTCCAGACGATTTATTTGTTATGGTATTTATAGTGGTATTTTGTAAAATATGAAATAGTATTTTATAGTATATTTTTGAGACCAAATTGGTATTTTTCGTTTGGTCCGGCGCGGTCACCCTGATGATATTTCAATAATTTCTTCACATGCACATGTCGGAAGTGACATTCGTAAGTAATTTAAGTAAAACAAGTAAGACTGCTAATATTTCGGCTAGATACTACCCTGAACCAAACTAATAAAAATTCCCATTTAGTATGGCTAAAGTCCCAATTTCGATGTATTTAAAAATAGTAATGAAATAGAAAACTCATTTAATAAAATATTAAAATATTTTGAAACAATTAACAAAATTACCATCAGTTGCGCGCTCGGGGTTCGAACCCGCGACTTCTCGATCGAGCGCCACGCCGCTACTCACTACTCCACCTCACTTTTGGAAGCTGCGCTGCCAAAACTGAAATAGATTCACTGCTGCAGCGTCATCTAGCAAAACGAAACCAAACTAACAGCTGATGTGATTCTAAGAATGTTCTAGAAGAAATTTGAATGTATGTGTGCACACATATACGAAACAGTTGTAGCTGCTGCACGTGCGTTTGTTAATTGGGCAAACACTTTATTATTTTTTAACGTCGATTGACTTAACGGAATTTAATGAAACTTTCAGCATATGATCTACATATTCTATTGAATATTTGACAAATTTAAATAGAATCATTCAAAATTAGCTATACTGGCATCTGACTTGAACTTGAATATTTTTCCGCGCTGTATATACGGCCATTCAAAAAAAAAAAAAAAAAATCAACTCTTATATCTTCTGAAATCGACGCGTTCAAACATACGGACAGACAGACAGACGGACAGGGCCAAATCAACTCAGCTCGTTGCCCTGATCAAGAATATATATACTTTGTGGGGTCTGTCTGCCACGCCTCCTTCTGCCTGTTGCATACATTTCAACAAAACCATTATACCCTGATTTCCCATTGAAAATGGGTTCAGGGTATAAAAACAAGAACGTTGCAGACGGGCGTTACCAACTGCAGAATATTCATTCACATCTTATCAGCAATTTAGTAGATAAGTTTAGCTCTAATACTGTTTTTAAAAATGCCACGCCCTCACTGGGCGTAGACACCTCATATTTAACCAGCTCTTAGAACGAGCTGAAGGTAACGTAACTGCTAAATTTGAATACTTACGCTCAAAAAATGTGAAAATGACAGGGTATTTTTCGATATGCCATTCCCCCAAAGAGGCGTAACAAATACCTTTATAGATAGAGGAGAATACTAGTAACTCATCTGTCCAAATTTGAAGTTTCTAGCTATTATACTTTAGGGGATATAAACTTTTGCGGTTTGCTACGCCCCCTTTGGGCGGACATATATCTACCATAACTCATTGGACTTGGGTGGTCAACCCACGTATATATACCAAATTTCAGGTCTCTAACATCAACAGTGCCTAAAATATAGCCGAATTCGAAAAATCACTATAACTTCAGGTCCGATTTACCACGCCCCTAGTGGGCGGATCAGGAAAATTTTAAGACTATATGTGAGTGTATGTGTTCCAAATTTCAAATCTCTAGCTTCAATAGCGCCGAAATAGATTGCGTTCATACGGACAGACAGACGGACAGCAAGACGGACATTGCACAAAACCAATATACTAATTCACTTTCGTGAATGAGTATAAAAAAGTTTAGACTTAAAAATCGCTGTGCCAATAACTTAGTTCGTCACTGTATGTACATACAGTTTGACACGAAAGTGTTTAAGCTTGGGAAAAAAGAGCATTTTTGTTCTTTGACATTAAAAAAAACTACTAAATGTGATATTTCTAATTTTTTTAAAATTACATTATGTTTTTCAATTTGTTGTCTTTCAAAAATAACTTTAAAAAAATTTAAAAAACTTTTAACATAGGCTTCTCCCATTCCTCTAATATACAGGCTTTCAAATCGCTTTTGTTTGTTGGACCTCGCTTGGCTGTCCTTTTTTTGAGATCAGCCCACAGATTCTCTATGGGATTAAGGTCGGGGCTTTGCGCAGGAGTATCCAACACCTTTGCACAATTGTAGAGAAGCCAGCACCTGACTATGTTAGCTTTGTGTTTGGGGTCATTATCTTGGTAAAACCTAAATGTTGGTTTACCATCCCTAAAAAATCCAAACTTGCGGGCACTGGACACTAGATTCGTGCGTAAAATCTCCAAATACTGTTTCGCATCCATTGTACTCTCGATAAAGCACAATTCTCCAACTCCTTTACTAGAAATACATTCCCAGACCATCACTGAAAGTTTTCCGAACTTAATAGTGGGAATTATATTTTTCCGTTCAAGGGCTTTCAACGGCTTTCGCCAAACACGACTGGGTCCATCATGGTAATACAACATCATCTTCGTCTCGTCACAAAATCCACAACAATAGTTTTTTCCGCGCAACTCGGGATGCAAACTCGTTCCTTTTTAGGGCTCTGCGGACACTTTCGCGGGATATGTCAATATGACATTCTTCCTGCAGCTCCCTGGCAAGCGTTCTGGTCGAAATTGTTGGGTTATCATTAACTTTCCTGGCCAGAATACGCTTGGCCCTATCTGTTAACGCCCGAGGTCGTCCAGTTAAATGCTTTGGCTCCAGTGTTTCATTGTTTTCTACGCGGCTTAAAATACTGTAAATGGTCCTCTTCGATATTATAAACATTTCTGCGATCTCCGCCACTGATTTTCCTATGGAGTGGTTATAATAAACCAAATGAATCATGTCAAATGACAATCGCTTCCTTGGCATTCTTAATTTGTTTAAATTTTTTGAAGATTGAATCGATTCTTACAAAATATGACGAAATTGTTCAGAACATAGCATTAGCCACAGCTGTGCACATTGAAATCGCCGAAAACAACGGTAAATACGAATTTAGCAGTAAGAAGAAATAAAGAATAGCATGTGTGCAAACACTTTCGTGTCAGTTGAATTTGAATATCTTTTATGTTGTTATTGTTATTTAAGCCTATGTTAATAGTTTTTTATTTTTTTTAAAGTTATTTTTGTAAGACAACAAATTGAAAAACATAATGTAATTTAAAAAAAAAAATAGAAATATCACATTTAGTAGTTTTTTTTAATGTCTTAGAACAAAAATGCTTTTTTTTTTCCCATGTGAAAGCACTTTTGTGTCAAACTGTATGTATGTATGTACTTACTTACTGCACGTATGTATATACATGCATATGTACATATGTATGTACACATGCTCGTGTTTATAAATTGACATTGCCTATATACAGCGCTAATCATTGATGTGATTAATATTAATGAAGAATCTTTTTATTATAGTAGTATAGTAGTAAAAAAAAGTTCGCTTTTAAACTAATATTAAAGATGCTATACATACATACATATGTATGTATAGATAAATTAATCAACTGCGTGTTTACTTTGAAATGTGCATGTATGTGTATGTATGTACATATTTTTATAAGTACATATGTGAAGTTCTTGCTTTTTAAACGTATTCATAGCAACTATTTATTGCAAAAATACATATGTATATGGCATTACTTACTTGGATTCTTTTTTTTTTAACTTGTTCATGCTGATAATGCCCAAATCATCTTTAATTGATGATACTCGTGTTATTTTGTTTTGATCTAGTAATATATTTTATTGAACAATATCATACAGTATCGCTTTCCGAAATTTGAGCAGTCAACATTTTAGTTTAACATAAAAAACTTAATTTCTTTTCCAAGTCCATCTAGTACATTTAGTGTTGTATTTATTAGTCACAAATACGACAAATTATCAAGAACATTGTAAGAATATATCGAACTAAATAGCATATAAAAGTATAAGTTCGATAAACCACTGTTAAGAGACTAAATAGGTTACGCAAAGAATAGTTCCGTGTTATCATGAAATACACATGTTATATACATATGTATGTATACTAACTCAAGATGTGTTATGAAGTCATAAAGGCCCATTTGACAGGCACTCTACAATTAAAGCCTGACAAACTACTGGATCGCGAGACAATTATCATCCTATCCCTTTAGAGCTGGGCAACCATTGATGGTTTACCCATTGATGGGAAAAACTATCGACTATATCGATGGTTCCATCGAATATTTTTACTTTCAAATTTTTACCTTGATTTTTCGGCGTGCAAAAAATTTGATCTACATGTCTAGTCTAAGTGTTTCTTTTATTTTAAAGCACTGACCACAGAACACATAGACTAGACTTGTAGTACAAAGTTTCTCAACACCGAAAAATCTGTCTCCTAAGGCCTATCAAATTCGTATTTGCTCGGCTCTTCACTTTTAGATTCGGGTTACGAAAATATACGAAAGCACAATCATTTCGCTTCATGCGCTCGAACGAGATGGTCAAATGTTGAATAAAAGATGTCTCTACGGTCGTCAAAGATTGGCCCTGTGATTTGTTGATCGTCATGGCGAAGGCAAGACAAATCGGGAATTGAATTCGTTTAAACTCAAAGGGCATATCTGTTATAATCATCGGAATCCTAGGAATAAGAACTTCCTCATCTTTAAATTTTCCTTTGAGTATCGACGCGTGAATCACATTGCTCATCAGTTTTCTTATCACCAAACGCGTTCCATTGCACAGTTTTGGTTGGTTTAAATTTCTAAGCATGATAACTACCGAGCCAACCTTCAGTTGTAAATTGTGCGGTGGTAAACCAGGCACATCCAAGGAGTTCAAAAATTCAGTTGGATAATTAGTGGCTTCTTCTTTGTTTGTTACACAGTCGATAGATTTGAATGAATACAGAGTACCAACGATTTTATTTTGAATTATAAAATTAAGATCATCCACATCTTTATTTTTAGCAGCCAAAATTGCTCGCTCACTTAACCATTTAGTATTTTTGTGGAAAGCAATGATATTCGGAAATACTTTGTTGATAAGCTCATCTTTTGATGAGACGAAATTGCAAAAATTTTGAGGAAATGAAATCAAGCCACTCGATTCGTCAACAGGAATACGGCGATTACCGATTGTTGGAGCATTAAATGTGCGTTCATGTGTTCCAGCTGGTCTTTTATCTGCTCTGATTACTACTTTATAGTCATCTCTTGGCATGCGCTCTAAAGCAGTCTTGAACAGCTTGACCAATGCATGATGTTCGTGAAGCATTTGCTTGGAGAATTGCTCTTTTCATAGCTGTGTTGATTTCTTGACGCCGGTCAAGTCGTTCTTCCATATTGCTCATGAAGTATATTTGCAAGAATTTGTGCTGTGTATCTTCAATAGGTTGCAATGATCCAATGCGATGGCAAATCTGGCCTTGAATCTTTAAATTCAAAGCCATAGGTATAGTTAGATTTACAAACACTTTTTACAAAAATCTAACAAACTACATTATTCAATTTTTTTTTTTTTTTACAATCATACAAAATAAAATTTTTAACGTAAATTACCTTAAATGTCGGATTATATCCGTCTCCAATCATGGAAAATAAAAATTTTAACGTAAATTACCTTAAATGTCGGATTATATCCGTCTCCAATAATTTCCGCCCCAAATGAAGTCATTTGGAAATAGGCATTGTATTTTTGAGTGTTCGCTAGAAAATGTGATTCTAGTGATTTCTTATTGCCGTTTCACGGGCTGCCTCTATTTGAGAAGCACGAATTAAGGCCCTTCTTTGCTGGGTATTAACTCGGCACTTAAAATCCCCATAACTCGGTATGGGGTTCGGCTCTATTATTAATTTACCTTCCCTGTGTTGTTTTGGTTATATTTTTGATGTACCAGTTCTACACTTAAAAAAGAAAAAATAAAAAATAAAAAAAAAAACTAATGCGACGCCTTTCTCGGGCGATTTCTCGTTCTTCGTCAGATAATTGACTCGCGATGTTCCGATGCCTAATTGCATTATGGGTACGCTGGGAAAGATTAGATCTTCTAGGACGCGGAATTTTTATTAATAGTAATACTGAATATGCCCTCGCACAAAACCACATAAAACAATCGAGAAATATAAATATAAATAATTTACACAAATTTATGTTTGAGACAAACAAATACCTGATATTTAACTTCTGTACGCACGCGTATTATTTTTATCAAATGTGCTTTTTTTTATGAATAGTCAGGTTCGCCTGAGGCTGTGCCGTAGACTGACTGACTACATTTGTTTATTTACTTCTATACTATTGTATAATATGAGAGCAGGACCGAAAACTGTCACTGCTATCAAGCCTACTGAGTATAAATGGAAATTTGAATCTTTAGGGAAAAAACCGCGTTTTTCAAGTATTCGTCAAATTTTTTCAGTATTTTTAAGATCTACTATCCTACTCGTGGCGGAGACAAATCCAACAAATCAAAAACCATGAAAATTGGTCCAGCAGATCTCGAGTTATAAGTGGAGGAGCACTTTTACACAACTCTCATTTATATATGTATATAGATAAAAATATTTTAAAACAATTAAAATAATTAACATCAGGTGCATTGATCGGGATTTGAACCGCGACTTCTCGATCGAGCGTTATGCAAAGCGAACAGCTGATTTGACAGTGTGACGTCACTATTTCAGAAAATGTTGGGCGCGCGTTTTAATTTGTATGAAAATCAAGCAACTTTGACACTGTTATTTGTCTTAAAACTAGTAGACTAAATAAAACGAGTTGGACGGCTAATCACATATTCTATATACATTTATTCACGAATCGGAAAATATAAAGGTTTTTGCTAATTTTTATACTCTTAGCCGTTTTCTAAGCAGTTATTGATCATGCAATCCCTTGACCACTTTTACTTTTGCATATAATGGATTTAACCTTACTATCTAAGGCTTGAATTTGTAAAACTAAAGAGTTACTACTAAGTATTGTGCATTTCCCATTAATCCGCATCATTATATGTACTAATTTCATTCTTTATATTACAAATCCGATGGCCATAGATGATACGCAGCATTGTTAACTTTTGTCTAGGTTTTAAGAGCTGATTCAGGCAGATTATGTGTTTCTTTAGGTTTCAATACTCATAATCATACAAGTTTTCGACTTGACAATTATTACACAAATTTTATTTTATTCCACTGGATGTTTCTGACATGACAGCAGGTGTGAGCAGCACCTTTATTGATGCCGCTTCAGCGTGTACTATATTTGAATGTGTAGGTAAATTGGAATAAATAAACAATACTGATGGCGAAAATCCGGTTAACTATGTCCATCAACAATTCCTGCTGACTTATTGGCCATTTTGGCCATATCATTGCTGCATTCGAGAGGCTTCCCAGTTCATTCCATTGTGTACTTAATTTCTTTATTTTATGGTAATAAAATTAATAATTGACCATTTTTAAGTTATTGACATTTCCTTATATATACTTAATTTTGGTTATTTTCGACCACTTAGCCGATCTGTGCTGAAGCGCCTGCCAAGCTTCAGCCGGGACAACATAGGAAAATCTGATAATGTGACGTCACAAGACTGCTGTTAGTTAATATTAAAAGTAACGGGACTGATCTTTGCGCAACCTACTGTGTCTTTTAACAGTGGTGGGAAGGGTATGAAAGCGTTGATACCAGGGACCGCAAATAAGAGTAATGCATTTAAAAAAATTGAGGGTAAAAAGAACTACCAAGAAGAGAGAGGAAATCACACATAAGGATTTTTTTTATGGCGAATTCAAAAAAGGGATAAACTCCTATTCGTAATTTTTATTAAAAAATTATATTTAATTATTAAAATTGATTTTTATGATAAAAATCAAAAATAATTCTTACAGAACAACTTTTATATAAAAATCAAATCATAACTCTTATTTTTGATTTTTATCATAAAAATCAATTTTAATAATTAAATATATTTTTTTTTAATTTATCAAAAAATAATAATTATTTTTTAATTTTTTTGCTATAAAAATTATAATCGTTACGGTCCCTGGTTGATACCACTGACCAGAGAACACATAGACTAGACATGTAGAACAAACTTTTTCAACACCGAAAAAATGCGCTGAGCGGACCAGACAACTTCGTATTTGGTCGGCTCGGTCTTCTGAGGCTCAAGCAGTGAAAATAAGGCAAGACAAAATCAGTGTGCTGCGACTGCTGCCACGAAATTCACGCATTACTAAATGAAGCACGGCTATGCGCTCTTTTTCCCTTACTCACTCTCTCCCTCTCTTTATGCTCTCTCTCTCTATATGGTCTCTCAAATAGCAGCAGCGCACAGAAATTGAATATTGTTCGCGACGATCGCAGCTCTTTCCTCTTGAGTGAAGAGTATATCGAAATCATAAAAGCATTTGTCACGCTCATGCAAACAAAATGTAAGCGTTTCGATGGTTATTCGTGGGAAGGGTATGAAAGCGTTGATACGCATAAACAATATTATTTCGCGACGGGCAAGTACACACACACTTGTAGTCCCTTGCTACATGTATGAGCATTTGTGACCTGCGTGCGTTACTCTTGCTGCTTGTAGCAATTTTAAAGCCCAGCATTTGCATTTGGTCGGTCTTACGGACTGTCATAACCACTTTAAACAGATGTACTATGTATCATAGCTTGCAAAAAACTGTTAACACTTTTTCGTTGTCTGCAAAAAAGTGTCTTTCAGTGACACAGTCAAAAAAACTCAGACAGAAAGTGTTTTTGTCGCGTCTGGCTTAGCTCTCTCGCGCTCTGAGGGAGATAGTTGTTTCTGTTTTCGTTTCCTCAAGTCAAACACTGATCGTTTGCTTGAGTTAAAGAAGTAACGGTAAGTTGCGTTTGTATGGGTAATCACGCGCGATTGCTGCGTTCTTTTTGTATGTATGTATGCGTGTATTTACATGCACACGAAGGCAAAAACATTTTCTGCTGAGTTTGTTAGTCAAAGTGTTTTTTGCTGAGAAGCTTTGTGTGAGGGAAAATCGTGTTAGTTTTACGCGACACTCATGTGAGAGCGTCACACGAATGAGTGATCGCATTGCGTCTGAGCGAAACAGATGCTAAAGAAAAAAGAGAGTGACGCTCAGAGAGAGACGTGTCTACACAATTTTTTTT